AGCGGTTGCCAGGTAACGGCCGTTACAACGGCGGCGTCACGGAGATATCGCGAGAGGGCGGCGCGGGACGGGAACGGGGGCGCTGCCGCCGCGCGGGGCGGCTCGGGGGAGGCGCGAGCGTCACGGAGGCGGTGTCGGGGAAAACAGAATAACGACGTGCTCGTAGCCAGCCGGGAAGAGAGAGCGTTCTCCTGCAGTAAATAAATAAATACAAAAAGTTCCGTTTTCACCTTTCCTGAAAATATACCTGTCAAACGGATACTGAACAGGAAATGGGAACGTGTCCATGAAAGGTTTCCTTGATAAGTGCTTACAAGCCAAAACGGCTTAAAATAACAGAAATTTGTAAAACATTTAACCAAAGAGAAAAAGATTTTCATATTTTTTAAAGAAATCTTTATTTTTCTCCCCCAAAGTCATGCCATCTTTACCATTACACCATTTACCAATAGTTTGAGAAAGGAAACCTAATAAACAGTAACTTAGAACGTGCGTTTGGAAACAGGAATTGGGTCCTCCAGCTCCAAAAGATGAGGCGGTGGTTGTGATGCATCGAATAACCCTAGGGACACACATGGAAGGTGTGCAGTGAATCTCCTCGCACCCTTTGGGGTACCCTTGGGGCGAGGTGGAAGAGGCAGGAGCGAGGCAAAGCCCCGGTTCGTGGTTGCGCCGGTGCCGTCTGCGTCGGGCGTGAGATGCCCGCGGTGCTTCTGCTGACCTAGGCGCTCAGCAACGAGAGCGATCAGCAGGGCACGAGCACGAGAGGGTGTGTTTTTATATTACATCTACAAGCAATCCTGTTAATCATTTCCCCACTTCGTTTCGGACTTTCAAAAGGGTTGGGGAGGCTTAGGGGGTTATGTTATTGCTGAATATTATGAAGTACTCTTATATTCTTAGTCTCTAGAAAAATCCAAGTCATTATATTCACCATCAAGAGGCCCAAAAGCTCCTGTTATCCATTTCTTAAATCCTATAGCTTTCTATTTATAGATAAAGTCTGTTCATTAAAGAAAAAAAAAAGAGCAAATGATTTATACAGCATAAAAACATTTTAGCTTTGCTGTTAATGGGTACCCGGGTTCTCTAAATGATTCATTTTAATTCTGATTTTAATTACTTTAAGAAGAAGATCCTCTCATCATTGTCATCATAAGTAAATTATGACATTATGCAGTAAGAATAACAAAAAATACCGTATTGCTAGGCAGGCTGTAATCTTCATTTCTGGTTTCAAATACCTCTTAGTTTCAAATTCCCAAACTTTCAAATGAGCAAAAGGTCACAATGCATTCCCACCGTTAGCAGCGGGAGCCCTTCTATTTATATTGCAAAAGGAATAGAGCAGATTTTCAGCACTGTGCTTGGCCTAGGGAGTATCCTGAATTTTTCTTCAGAAATGTTGCTTTGAATCAGAGAAATATCGAAACGTCATGCTCTAAAAAACAGTACCAAAGTAATTTTAGTTCTGATTATGCGTAAAAAAAGTATGCCTTAAAAAAAAAAGTTTGATAATTTGAGAAAAAATAATTTCTAAAAGCAATCAGTAACAATTTCAGGAGGTACCCCATTTTCTTCTGTCTGATTTTTACCCTGATCATATCAGAGAACCCAAAGAGGCGAGTATTTCCATAATGTGGCCAAATTTAACAACAACAACAACAAACTTCTTCTGTTTCTTTCTGCTAAAATGTGACTTTTTTTTTTTTTTTGCTAGTTTTCATTTGAGCCAGAGGGAGTTCGCTTTACTTTATTCCAGATCTTCAGAGGCAATATTAAGTGTTGAAAACAAATGGTAAGATAGATCAATACACTATTTCACACACACACACATACACACACATATTTATTATGCATGGAAATAAGTAACAATAAAATCCTAACACTTTGCTGTGAGAGTCAAACCAAGTGTATTTATATAGATAACATTGAATAGCAGCAAAGGATTTTAAAAATACTGTAGCAAACTAAATTATGTTTCTGAGATTTTTTTTTTCTGCTAATGAATCAGAGAATATTGCCTGGGATTAGAGGTTCAGGGATAGAAAAGAAGTTTAGTAGGAAAAGTACTGAAAGTAAATACAGAGTATTATAATGAAAAATAAATACTCTTTATGAAAAATAGAAAAATATCTGAGGAAAATCATGTCTCTTCAAAGATGTGACACAGGTAAAATCACATTTCAGGGTCTCAAAAAGATGCCACATCTTACAGTCAGAAAGGAGGAATTCAATACTTGGAATTAGCAAAGTAGAGAGCTTGAGAATTCCGTGGAATTATAAAAAGATATTAGAATCTTGGGATTTTTACATCATCAGTGTTTTATTTATTTTCTCCATGTGAGTGTTTTTGTGTTAGCAAACACACACAAATGCTGGGCTGTTAGACTGCAGTGCTCTCCTCCCGAGACAACCCCACTGGGGTAAACTTGCTGAATTAGTCATTAGCCGTTACTTACTTCTGCTTAGAGGTTAATAAAGTATAGATAGTATTGGTTAAAACAAAGAGGCAAACAAAAACCTCTCTATCTTCGAAATAGCTTGGTGAAATGAAGTTCAGAACAGTAACTTAGTTTCTTTTAGATCTGAGCCCTAAAGCACCAGACTTCTTTCCAAGCTCGTGACTACTGTTCTCCAGTTTTCTGGGATATTCCAGTTTGTTTAGGATCAGAAAAAAATGAGATGCGATCAGAAGGAATATTGATCTTGGTGCCTTGGCCAGACATCCAGGGTGAGCACAGAGATGAAAGATGAGAATAACAGTTTAACATTCCAAGGGATTTATTCATGGCACATTATTAAATGTCAGTAAGAAGCATCCGAGAGTCAAATTCCCTGGTATTTTTCCTGAGCTGGTTTGGGAGAAAATGAGAGCATGCAATTCTGCACAGCACAGCTGTGCACGAGGCCGCTACGGAACAAAATTCAGAAGCATTAATTATAGTGATTAAAAAACACTCTACATTTTTTTCATGTTAGGATTTAAAGCTGTGTTAGACTCTAGAAGAAAGGTGTGCAGCAGGCTGGCTTCAGAAAGGGAGCTTGCTCCAGCAGCAGTACCTACCTAGTTTTGCAAGACAAACGAGGAAATGGGTAAAATAAAAAACCCTGTGAGTAAAAACAAATGCAGCAGCATTAAGCTTTTTACATGAAGTACAGAAAGAAAAAAAATGGCTAACAGCATGGGAATTAATGAGAGACTGAGGAGAGTAAAAAAGCCATTTTTGCATTTGAGGAGAAGCATATATATCCAGGTTTGTTCTATTCATTGCTTATGTTCTTTAACTGAATATCTAAATGCCTGGCTGTATATTTTGAAAGCGTGCCATTGCTTAGCTTTCTGTCCTGGAGACAGAGCAGCCCTATTTACTGTGTGTGTCTCCATTTGAATGCTAACTTTCAAAACAGAGTATTGTTTACCTTAGGATCAGAAGGTGTTTGAACTGGTCTTTAAGGATGCTTTTTAAACTGATTAAGATGCTGATTTTTTGTGAGGTGCAAAAAACATCAAAAGACAAATTCCTGAATAATCTTAAATGCTAAATTCAAAGAAAGCTGACTAATTGCTGTTGTCCCTAAGAAAGAAATCTAGTGTAACAGCTTGTGTTTTCTATGCTGGACTCTTTTATAACTCACACCTTGAGAACAGGTTAGTCTTCGTGCCTCCATTTCCCCTGCTTTAAAAGGGTGGCAATGTACTTACCCCCTAGAGTGAAGCTTGTAGGTAGCACATCTCAAAATATTTGACTGAAAATGCTTTATACAATACGACAGCTAAAACAAAAAAAAATCCCAAGACACCAGTAGTTTAGGGGGTTCTTATGTGGAATTGTCTGTCTCGAATGTCTTTCGGTGGATTTATTTGCACTTACAGTCTCTTCAGACATATTGGGGAAATGTTTTTGCGTGCAGCTTTCAGCAGCTCTGCAAACCATTACTGTCACAGGCATTTTCCTTGCCAGGCCACTCATTATTTCTGTGACAGCCGTGACTATGGACACACGCCATCTGTAAGAATAATAGATGTCCCCCTGTCTGATTTCTCCAGTGGGGAAAAAGAAAAAAAAGAAGGCAGAGAAATCCCATTAAATGTTAAGATAAAACCTCAAGTAATGATGGCAAAGCCTCTTGAAGTTTTCCCGAAGGTTTTTGGAGCTGCAGGCTGTTACCTGTCCATGCAGGTCCCGGTCGACCTTTCAGTGTAGGCGGAAGGGAGTAGCCGCGTCCGTAAAACCGATGGCTGAGAGTGCTGCCCCGTGCCTGTTCTGTGCAGGCAAAGGCAGAGTTTAGTCCCTGATGGTCCTGCTTCCTGCTCATTTTGAACCAAACGGAGAAGGGGAAAGGATTAGTTATCTCTAATGAGCAGAATACCTGGTTTGTTTGTTTTTTCTTTATCACAAGAAACTGATTTTATACAGGAAAGACTTTAATTTTGGAGCTGCTGTGCACCTGAACTCCTGCTGCCTTAGCTGGGATGCCAGTTTGCCCTTGACGATACTGAAGAAAGAATTACAAACCGGGCAGCTTCTCTGTAGCCCTCTAAAGCAGCATTTGCCATTGAGAACATTTGGTTGCCTAGAACTTTGTTAATAAAAAGGCTTTTATTTCACACAGGACTGACTTTTTGGTCCGATTCCCTATGG